TTCATTTGTTTGGAATGCCTAATTGTCTACAATTTTTCCAAAGCCACCTAAGCTGTTATTTGTTCCATGCAGGTATTTGGAAACTGCAATTACAGCTTAGCATATTTTAGGTTCAAATTAATTAAAAGAAAACGTTCCACCTACTTTAGTGAACATAACTTAGGTTATAACTGGAAAATAAATTTGTTTTAAATTTTATTAAACTAAAATCGGTGGAACATTAATATCTTCGTTGTTTTATTTAGATACTTCATACCAATTATAACACTTGAATAATGAAAGAAAAACAGTGTTCCACCTATTTTAGTGAATATAACTTAGGTTATAACTGTAAAATAAATTTATTTTAATAAATTTTACTAATTTTATTAAACTAAAATCGGTGGAACATTATTATTTTCACAATTTTATTTAGATACTTTGTAATTACAATTATTATCTTGAATAATGGAAGAAAACAATGTTTCACCAATTTTAGTGAACATAACTTAGGTTATAACTGTAAAATAAATTTGTTTGTAACAATTTTTACTAAATTTATTAAACTAAAATCGGTAGAACATTATTATTTTCACTATTTTAGTTAGATACTTTGTACCTGCAATTATAACACTTGAATTATAAAAAAAAATAAGGTCCACCTGTTCTATTATGCAAAACTGTATTTATAATAATAACTTTAAACAAACATTAATATTATTTATTAGTCTCAATACAAAATTATAATTATTAAAATAATTAATATTACTATTTTTAATTTTTAGCTTATTCTATTTGTTATTATTGGTAATATTGAAAATACAGTTATTTTAATTATTTGTTGGGTGGTTTGAACCTTCAGAAAACGTGTTGTCTTTAATTTCAACTGATTTGTGAGAAACGGTTGTCGAAGAGGTGTTAGGGAAGTTACTTCTCATGGACTCAATTATATTTTGATGGTGTTCAGAATCTAACTGGAGATATGGCTTAATTGATTGGCTGCTGCTATGTCCAGTTATTTTAATAAGTTGCTGCTCACTAACTCGTTTTTTAGCTAAGTTAGAAACAGCTGTCGCTCTGGCCGAATGATTTGTCACTTTTTTCTTTTTATGTCGATACCAATATTAGATGCTGCCGACTTAAACCAAGTGGATATCGTATTCTTTCCTACCGGACAATTCTTATACCATCCTTTAGAGTCAGGTTGATTCCAAGTAGGATTAGGGGTTAAAAATAACCTTTCAGTTTTTATGTTGTTACCCCTTTTTTCTAATAGCCTTTTGAATAAACGAACGGGTCAAATTTCTGAGTTATTATTGTTTGTAACTAGCCACTTACTATCAGATAATTTTTTAGAACCCCCTTGAGCTGTTTTAGAAAAAACTATATTATATTCTATCCTTCCACTTAAATTACCCTCATTATTAATTTCCTCTGTAAAATACTGGATACAAGCTGATGACCCTTTCCCTCCCCTCCAGGCTAGCTCAAGGGATGCGACATAAAAAAATTTTCGTTGAAGACCATCTGGACAATCTTCATCGCAAGTTTCTATAATTTTGTTAAATTCGTCGTTAGATAATGCCAGCGAACTTGATTTTCTTTTTTTAGGATCCCTCTGCAATTTTCTTCGCATTGCATCACACGCTGCTCTGGCAGATACAAATTCGGAATCGGTAAATGGGTCAAATTTAATATTATAATTATTAAAAAACATCTCTTTTAACTGTTTTGCTGTGCTATTCCACATTACTTTTACAACACCCTCCTTATAATCACATGAGCTTTTTTTCTTTATGTTAAATGCATAGTCTTCTAATATTTGACTCAGTGCTTCAATCGAAACAGATGGACTGTTAATATCATAAGATTTCTCAGAACAAAACTGCAAAAATTGTCTCCACACACTTTCTTTACTCCTCTTTGTATTTTGTGGCACTAACTTTTGGACTTCTTTTCTAATATTCTCTTGATTTTCGTTTCCAAAACGCGACATTTTTACTCACTCGTTATAGATACTACACTAGGCCTCATAAACTGACAGAAAATTTTGACGTGGAATAATGTTTGACATACCAAAAAACACTCATGACTAACTAGACCAAAACTAGTCTTCCCTTCTTCATGTCCTTAAATAATCTTAATGTCAAATAAAAATGAATTACTTTTAAATTTTTTAGGTGTGAAATTTTCTTACCGAATCCCCCACAGTCTTGAATTAATAACCGGGAACTTTTCCGATAATAATTCAAGCTCTAGGGAGATTACTAGTGAATATTTCTAAATGAACGAAATTGTTTTATTGTCAGCCAAAACTCTTTGGGATTTCTACAACTCGATAATTTGAGATCATTTCTGCCTCAAATTTACAACGTTTTAATTTGATTATTTGTTTATATTCTTTTTTCATATTTGTGTATTTATTTAGAGTATCTTGGGAAAAGTTGTTGTTTCGACAATGTGAAAGAGCTAAATTTAATTGTTTTTTTGCGGCATAACAAGCATCATCAAACCAAGGTTTGCTTAGTCCCATTTTTCTGACAGTATTAGAAGGAATGGTCTTTACTAAGTTTAAATTATCTGCGGACTCATGTATAGCTGCATAAAAATTGTTATAAGATTCATCTGTATTTTCAATAAAATGTACCCTATTTGAATCACACATGATAAGTTTAAAGGATAAAAAAATATTGTTATTCCAACATAATTTTCTCTGTATAATATTTGTATTAGTTGTTATATTAGTTAATGATCTGTAATTATCAAAATTTAATTTTAGACAAATAGGAAAATGATCGGAAGTCAGTTCATTATTATATACGAAAAAATTATCCACATATTGCAAGTATAAATTATTTATCCAAACCAGATCTATCACACTACAGCCCAATTTACTGATATGCGTAAAATTAGCAGGCCTATCAGATGGTGTTCTACCGTTTAATAAGGAAAATGAGTTAGAATACATACATTCAACCATAGATTTTCCTCTTGAATTAATAACCTTATTATATGTGAGTCTTTCTTCAAATAAATTAGTATTTTCTATCAGTTCCAAAGGTAAATGTCCTAAATTACCAATCCTACAGTTAAAATCCCCGCCAATTATGATCATAGAGTCAGGAAAAGAGTACATTATTTCATTTGAAAGATTTCCAATAATGAGGAAATATTTAAGGATGGTTTAAAATAAACGTTACATACAATAAGGCTAGTAAATTGAGATTTCATTGGACAGATTAGCCACCAAGGGGAATTATCTAGTACTTCTCATGTAAAATCTTTACTATAAAAAATGCACAAACCACCACTAGCTCTTTTAGCAGATTTTTCTTTGATGGCATTAACACTAATTACATTAAATGTGTTTAAAAAATGGGAGCAAGTTTTTATTTCAGAGACAAGCCATGTCTCAGATAGACAGAGTATATCAACATAAAATAAGTTTGTGATAGAAATAAATTCACTAATGTTTGACAGTTCCAGAAGAAAATTTGTAATGGTTGCTATTGATTTCTATGCGATGCACCAATATTATTTACAGAAGAAGTATTCATCTGTTTGAAAATCTTGTAGGTTCCTTCAGTTGTGTTGGTTGGGCTGTTCGAATCTCTAGTCCTTTTTTTGTATTTTCATTTTCAGGGATTATTGCAACAATTTTAGGTACTCCTTTAATATACTTAATGGTAAGAGATTCTCCATTTTTGTTTCGAACCTCCAGCTCATCTCTTAGATTCTTCAAATAGTTTAGTTGGGACGGAGTATTATCGCTTTTAATATATATTTTACTCGCACTATTAATTTTAGTTTTGTTTTTTAGGATATGTTTGACCAAGCTAGGGCAATCTAAAGTGACTTTTAATGGTCTGGGATGCGAAAGCAAATTTCTATTTTCAAGTTTTCCAAGACGAATTGCGTCAAAAAATTTTATTTCGAGATTACGATTAAAGTGTTCGATAAAAGCTTTAGCTGTCTCAATATCAAGGTTTTTAATTTGATTTTCAATAAGACCTACAATAATCAAATTTTTTTCACGGTTTACTCTGTCTCGAACTTCATGTAAAAGCTGTTCAGGAGAATTATTTTTGCTTCAAGAAAGTCCGGAATAAAATTATTATCTGTTCAACCAGTAACTTAAAAAAACCGCTGAAACACGTGAATTGATTTTACATCGGACGTACTTGTTGAATGAATTTTTTTTCTTCAACCCCTTAGCTGCAACCCTATCCAACTTTTTTTTTAAATTCAAAGGTATATCGCATAAGTCAAAGAAAAAAAAAAGGGTATGGTGAGATTCCATTTTTCACGAACTTTTCAATGACCCTACACACGACATACCTTTACATTTGAAAAAAAAAGTTGGGTAGGGTAGTAGCTAAGGGATTGAAGAAGAAAAAATCATTTTATTGGCAACAAATACGTCCAATGTAAAATCAATTCACACATTTCAGCATTTTTTTTAAGTTACTGGTTGAACAGGTAATAATTTTATTCCGGATTTTCGCGCAACTCTGTATACTTGTTAAAATATTATTTAACCGTTATGTTCCCTAAGACTAACCCAATATAGTATATTTTTAACTAAGAAGTAATGGTACTCTTAACCTATGAGTGTAATATTTATTTTATATAATTCATACTTTTTCTATAGCTATAACAGACTGGCTACCCGTTTTTAATTAGTTTTTATGAGTAATTTATAAAATTAAAATGACAGCTCTCATATAGATAATTGTTATAGTTTAACATTTCATAACACACAAGACTTTATTAAAATATTTAGAAAATAACTACTTTGTGTTATCAGATAAGGACCTGATACAGAAATGACTACTCTGTATTGTCAAAATTATCAAATAATAAGGAAATGGATCTCATTTCTTAATCAACAATAATTGAGAAAGTGTAGTTTTTTATTATAACCGAAGAAAAAAATATTTACTGACGCTTATTTTAAATTTAAACGTATTTTACTACGAATGCATGCATTCACTCATCAATGTCTTTATGCATGCTTTTACCTGTTGCAATCCGTTGGAAGATCCTGTCCAGTTGCACTCCAGCTGAAGCCCGAACTGGGGGTTGTTGGGAACATAACTGGTATCCATTATTCGGAAAGAAGGGATGTTCTGGAATGATGGGAGGACCAGTCCTGCGCACCTGAAATGTTTGAAACGGTGTATACATTTAATCAAAACTTATATCCGGAATTTAACATTCCGCATAGGAAATCTTTTTATTATTTTAATTTAAAAAATGTTTAAATTTGAACGCATTTCAGAGATAAAATTAAAAAAAAATGTGCTGTGATAAAAGATACTATGAATCAAAATATATTAGTGTATTATTCAATTTAAGTATAGATATCCGGGGTATCTGAAAATAATGAGTAAACAATTTAAGGGTTGATTCTACTCGAGAAAATAATACTAAAGTTCAAATAACGTTTTTTTGAAAACTCAAATATGGTGAAATCACAAGGTGTCAAAAATAGCTATTTGTGCATTAAGAGCGAAAAGTGATAGGTACCTTGCCGTTTGAGACAAAAAGTTGCCGTATGACGCGTAGCGGAGCGCGGCAATTTGTCGAAAGGAACAACGAACTTTTAACTCAAAATTCACACAAGATTTTTTCTACGATCACATTATTTTAAGAAATAGATATATAAACTGAAAATGTGTCATAAGTACTGTATAAATTATTGCCTATATTAACGTTATTCATGAAAAAAGGAGTTAATATTTAAAGTCAATGTTAACTTGGATAACAAAAAAACAAACTAGGTACAAATAACTTCAAAATCATTTATTAAAAAGAGATTTATTATATTATATCTAATTTTAATTAGGCAATCGACAAAGCTGTCAAGTTTTCCGCTTGGCGATCGACAAAGCTGTGCCTTAATGTCAGTTCGTGGAAATCGTCTACTTTGCGGTTGAATTTCGAAGAGAAAAAGCTTACTTTAGATAATGATCGTAGAAAAAAATATATTTTTCCCGTTTTACCCGTTTGCCGAATTTAGTAAAATTATAATAAGTAATAAAAAAATAAAGTCTAGTGATTATTAGTTTTTGAATTTTCACTATAGCACCCTGAATCGGAAACGAGTAACATTTTATCTAGCCATGTTTCGTTTATTCCTCTTATTTTTAATCAGATAATCTTCAGTTGCTCTAAGCTTCTAGGTATGCTCAATGAAGTTTGTAAAATACTTTTTGAAGCGTTGAAAATTTGTTTTCAATGCTGTATTTAGGATTTCTGCGAGCTATGGTATCTCCTACACCATAAAAATTACGCGAAAAACTTTATTACTAAGTTAAAAGGTCAATAAATATAAAATAATTTCAAAATGTAGCAACGTTTTCAATGTTGAGTGAAGAATTTGTTACTTATGCCATACAAGATGTTCCAAAATGTCTAGTAAAAAAAATCTTTAGCAAATCATACCTAATTTTAATATACAGTGTGGAAACCACTTATAGAATAAAATTCTTTATGTCATTATTTTAGAAAATTGTAAAAAATGCCGAGACACGTCAACTTTTGAATTGAGTTGTGCGTTATGTAAACATAAATTTAAATGTACAGGGTGATTCACGCAAGTATGCCATAGTCGGTGTTGTTTTTTTTTAATGAAACACCCTGTATATTTGCATATTTTTGAAATCCTCTTAATGAACCGATTCCAACAAACTGAATAATGTATGTATGCAAATATACAGGGTGTTTCATTAAAAAAAAAACAACACCGACTATGGCATACTTGCGTGAATCACCCTGTACATTTAAATTTATGTTTACATAACGCACAACTCAATTCAAAAGTTGACATGTCTCGGCATTTTTTATAATTTTCTAAAATAATGACATAAAGAATTTTATTCCATAAGTGGTTTCCACACTGTATAACTACAGGCTATTGTCTTCTTAATTGTTATACAGAGTGTTTGACTAAGAAGCGGAAATAAGTTTAATATTCAAACTCACTTTTATATCTACAACCCCTAGAAATATGTCGTTCAGTTTCTTTTTAAAACCAGGATGGCTATGGAAATTTGACATATTTAGCTGTGTATAATCTCAGATAAACAAATTAAATATAGGTAAGTAACGGTCTAGATTTGTTTGAAGCCAGTATCTACCATTTTTTTCTATTATTTTCTCTTTATCCTGGGTCTTTGATGTGATTCGTCTATTTTAAATAGCAGCGCACAAATTTAGTCACAACTATCAACAAGCACTTGGGAATTGTCAGTTTTGTTTGTACATTTTGTGTAATTTTATATTCCTAGAACATACTTTTAAAGTTTTTAGAGTTTCTAGTATGTTCTTTTAACGAATTTTATTAACTGTAAGTCTAAAAATTACTACTCAATGTTTTGTTTGACCTAAAAAATACGTTTCAAAGATAAGTAAATAAAAAACATAGGCGGTACAAATACATTGTAAAATTTTATTACTAATAATTTTTTTTATGCAGCTTGCCAACAAAACTTGAAGCAATGGAAATTTGAATTCAAAACCTAGAATTAGGAACGGTTGAAGTTGATAAAATTAACAAAAAAACAAAATACGAATTTAAAGCTGGAAACAATTCCTATTTTATTCAATTCCCAACTTAAGTCCGTCTTCAAGTAAGTTATAATAATATTTTGTAATACAAATTATTTATACATTTTAAACTTGATTAAATAAAAAATTAATGCTATATTGACAAAATAAAATAAATCTTAATGTTCCCTGGAACGAAAACATTTTATGAAAATATAAACTCCATAGGGAAGCTATAGAATAAGTTATTCAATTTATAAAGAAGAAATCTATAAGTACCTAAATTCAGAGAAAAAAAATTATGCTAAAAATAGTAAAAATAATAGAACAATTTAAAAAGGCCCGTTAAAATATTTATAGCATATATTATTTTGGTGATTATTAAATTATCTAAAATTAAAAAAAAACTTTAAAAACATTTTGAAAGTTTCTTAATGAGCTTGTTGTTAATCTTGAACAAAAGTCAAATCAATTCAGCAAAATAGAAGAAGGTTGCAATCTAGAATATCTGTCAGTATTCGCTTCTAACATATTTAAGAGACCAAAAATGACATAAACGACAATACACGAGAAGCAGTTGAGGTGTATAGTAATAAAACAACATTAATTCAATTTGGTGACATACAGTAGCGTAGCCACGGGGGGAGGTTTTGGGGGTCAGAACCCCCATGGAGGGCTTTCGCGTCACCGTTTCCGCTATCTTATTGGCGCTGATCGCTATTAACTGTTTGTTAACCTCCCATAGTTCTCAGAAACACCCTCCATGAAAAATTTCTGGCTACGCCACTGGTAACATTCATGTTGTCATTTAAATATGTGTACCTCATTATTAATTTTGTTCCTATGAGATTTCCATATATTTCTGTAACACCATACACTCCACTTACCACTTTTTTCAAATTTTTAATTACCCACTTTTGATACTTTTATATTGTATTTTTTTATTTATCTAATATTGGATTTTACATTTTATTAATATATCTTTTGCGTTACCTTCTTGTATGTTTATACATTTTTGGTTGAAACTGTATTATATAAAAAAAATTATCACACACAAGTTTTACCCAGACAAATTTACGTGATGTATAGAGATAGTTTTTCAGACATTGTGTATACAATTTAGGAATGAGCTGGCTAGATACTATCGTCAAATTTCTGGAATTACTAATATTTACTCTCTTAAAAAACGAAAGCATGATGCGGATTTACTATTCTTACATAAGTTATTAAATGGTTTAATAAATTGTACGGAACTGCTTGCTTTATTTTATTTTAATTTTGTATCAAAAACTAGATATTGACCATTGATATACCCAGCTAAAACTTGTCACTCCCCTAATCTCCAAACTCGTGAAAAAAATTGAAAATCGCTCAGACCCGTCGATTTTTATTTCAAGGGGGAACACTTTCACCAAATACATCATCATTGTGTTGTCAACCCCCTCATCCCCAGCATCCCCTACTTCAAAATTTTCAATGGAACTACTTACTTGTGATACATCATTTTAAAGGGAGTTTAATCCCAAATACATCGGTGTACTGAAATTGAGGATCGATCAAGTGTTGTTGAAGTTTTAATGAAAACTAAGTTTTATCAAGATATTTTTATTTTTCATCACCTAAAATGTTATCATCGTAAGTAGATTCACTGTGGGAACGCCACTGTATTGAAAATTAATATGATTTCAGAAATAAAATAATAGATTAAAAGGTAAGACAGACGTTTTTATGAAAAAAAAAAAAATTATCGCCATGTGTTTTTGTATACGCATATCTTTGTTGAAGCCTTGGTATATTGATGTATTCGATTCACTTCATTCAACAATTTGAAAACTGTCGAAAATGGTTTATACTATACAAGAGAGGATATCCATTGTAGCTGCGTATTTTGAAAATTGACGATGTGCTAGAGCTACGGCTCGAAGTTTCAATGAAATTCATCCAGAAAAAACCACATCATATCAGTACGTGATTCAATTGATGAATAAGTTCCTGGAGTCGGGATCAGTGCTGAATAAAAAACATGAACGAGAGAAGCCTATGAGAAATGAAGGGGTCGCTGCTGCAGTTGTAGGACATGCAGTGATGGACAACATTCAATCTTTAAGACAACTTGAGACTATATCTGGAGTTTCTAAAAGCAGCGTACATCGAATTCTAAAAGAAGCAAAATTCCATCCTTATAAAATGCAGAATGTATAAGAATTAAATGAAGATGATCCTGACAGACGTACAGAGTTTTGTGAAATCATGAGTCAATTATTGATTGGTGATAATAATTACCTCTACAATGTGTGCTTTTCTGACGAATCTTCTTTTTATTTAAATGTACATGAGAACAGGCACAACTGCAGATACTGGAGTGACGTAAATCCCCATTGGTACAGGGAAACTCATTCACAAATTCCCCAGAAATTGAATGTTTGGGCTGGTATTCTGGGAGATCATATTGTAGGTCCATATTTTATTGATGGTAACCTCAACGGACAAAAGTATCTTGATCTTCTTGATACAACTGTGAACCCCAGAATCACTGAATTACTTGAAAGCGATGATCGTCTACTTGAAGGCCAGCTCACCTTTCAACAAGATGGAGCTCCTCCACATTTTGTTGCACCCGTACGTCAACTTTTAGATGACAATTTCACAGGGAGATGGATTGGAAGGCGAGGACCAATAGAATGGCCGGCTAGATCTCCTGATTTATCACCATTAGACTTTTTTATGGGGTCATTTGAAATCCAAAGTTTATATTACACAGCCAAATTCTCTTGATGATCTACGCAGGAGAATTGTTGTAGAGTGTCGTGCAGTGACTCCAGAAATGTTGAGAAATGTGCGAAGACATTTCGAAAATCGCTTATACTTCTGTATGAAACTGAATGGTTCACATTTTGAACCTTTCATATGATGATAACATTTTAGGTGATGAAAAATAAAAATATCTTGATAAAACTTAGTTTTCATTAAAACTTCAACAACACTTGATCGATCCTCAATTTCAGTACACCGATGTATTTGGGATTAAACTCCCTTTAAAATGATGTATCACAAGTAAGTAGTCCCATTGAAAATTTTGAAGTAGGGGGTGCTGGGGATGAGGGGATTGACAACACAATGATGATGTATTTAGTGAAAGTGTTCCCCCCTTGAAATAAAAATCGACGGGTCTGAGCGATTTTCAATTTTTTTCACGAGTTCGGAAATTAGGGGGGTTACAAGTTTTAGCTGGGACACCCTGTATGAAAATAGACATTATTTAACAAATTGTGATCGTCATAATCCACTTACACGAGTATTTCGTGAATTGAATAGCCTGTTTTGATCCAATGATATATTTTTAAATTCATTTGGAATATTTAAAAGAATATTACAAAGTTAGAAGAAAGGTTTGTTTGTGTACTATTTTTTAAATTATTTCTCTCTGTAAACTACTTAAACTTACTACTGTAATTTTATTATTTTGTAAATATAAGCCTTTTTCTAGAGGTTTTTGAGTTCTTGATAAACAATTTTGGAAACAGGTCCATTAGACTTCCTTTTAGGTTTTCTGTCACCCCTAAATGTATTGCTCGGCAATTTTGATCCACTGTATATAGTTTTAGTAAAAATACGCCATATTAGTGTGGCGCAATTTTGGTTCCACTGACAATTTAACTTCCAGCCAAACTTTTAACAAAAACATCATTGAATTTGACATATACGTTTTTACAGGTTTTAGTTTTTTCCACTCTCATACTTATTTTTAGCATGGGCGTTCTTAAAACATTCTTAAGAAAAATAAAGTTATGTAGATACTTTAAATTAAGAAGTTTTATTCTCAATTTAAACACGGTACTTATACATTCTTAAAAAATTCTTAAGTGAAAGACATAATAAGAAGTTTTTTTCTAATTTTAATCTCATTACTTGTAAATCTAAGGAAACTCTCTTGCTTAATTTAAGTATGACAATTCTTTAAAAAATTCTAGTCAAAAGGAACATGAAACAAGAAGTTCTGTTCTTAGTTTAAGTACATTATTTCTAAATTTTTATTAATTTAACTTTTTAGGATTATTAATTTAAACACCTTTTCGGTTTAATTTAAGAACGCATGCTAAAAAAAAACTTGATTTTGATATTAACAACATTCGTACTTATTTATTGCTTTTAATTAAAAAATTGAACATGGCAATGTTAATTTAAGAATGCCTGGATACAAATAAAGAATATTTTTACTTCAATTAAGAATTAAAATCGTGCTGAATTAAAAAATATGCATTCTTGATTACATTCTTAAGACAAATTTCTCTGTGTAAAGTAAATGTGGTGAACAAATTGACACTTAAAAGCGGCCGTAAAGTAGGTGCTGCCAAAGAGCGATACTTTAGGGATGTTAATAAATCCGTAAAATGTCATTTTTATGACAGTCGCCTAAAAAATAGTTTGGTTATTCAATATTTGGACTTATTTTAAACTAATGATTTAAATTTTTCGCAATATTTATTATAATATTACTAATCTCCCTACAAATCACCCCCTTAGTAGTAAACCCCAAAAATCAGAGGGTTTGTGCGGAAAGA